TTATCTTTTTCTACCTTCAGCAGAAGATAATTTCTGACTCGGCTTAATGGAGTATCTGCTTTAGAAAGATAACTCCAGTGGCCATATGTAGGATAAATTGGAACAATCTTTTTGTTTCTAGGAATACTTTACCATGACTTCATTACCCTGATATAACCCTATTGATTCAACTTTTCAAACAGGATGTTGTTCAGAATATTTTGAAGAAAGTGCGTAATGAGAAGCCTGATATGCGATCAGCATATAGGGTTTCAATTCATTGTGATTCTTAAAAAGAGAATATTACGTTTGCTTGTGCCTAAAATTTCTATTAAAACTCAGCAAGGGAGACATGAAGATAAATGTGACCTAGCTTGATGTCTGCATACATTTTCTAGTTTACTTTTGATGGTGAATAATGCAGAAGTTTGAAAGTATCACCAACTTTTAAGATGGCTATGGACATTTTTGATCCTACCCCCAAAACAAGCAGGACTTGGAAAAGGGGGCCTGTGGCCTCTTATAGTAATGGTGCCAAGATCACAGGAAAAACATTTTCAAATAAAATTTTTTTTCACATTATAAAGGAAATATATTCACGTTACCAAAAGAGAAAACTGGAACCAATAAATATGAAAACCTGTGTCCCACTAATCTACCTCCCTTGCTTACCCTGTTGATCTACCTGTAATATCACTCTCCACCCGTGCCCTTCCTAAAAATGACTTGTTTGAATTCTGCATAACCTTCCAGGTTTAGCTCAATACTAAGACTTCCATAAAGCCCTTCCATTTATAAGAGGAAGTGAATCAGAGATACTGGTCTAGTCAGGAAGCCATTGCAATGGCCCATGAATGATAATGGAGCCTGATTTAGGTAGTAGGCATGTTGCAGATAGAAGCCTTTCGGAGACACTCCAGAGGTTGCTATAGTTAGCAAAGGGGACTGGGGGAAGGGGTGAGAAGAACCCATAATGGGTTCCACAGCAGATATGAAGCGATATACCTGGCAAGCAATAATACACAACCAAGCTTTAGAAACCAGTTCTTTTCATTTATTTATTGGTGGATCTAGGCATCTTAATTCACTGTCAGAATTCTCATCAGACGGTCTGACCCTCTGTCATTGGTTTTTTTTTTTTAATTACTGTGCTAAGCTTTGCCAACCAGCTCCTCATACCAGCCCTGGGTCTGAACTTGAGCTTCCTACTGGCCCCTAATCAAACTGTTTCCTTCATGCTCTGATGCCTTCAAGTCTGGTACCATTCCCCCTGGTTTTTCTCATTTAAAAGTGCTGAATACTTGTCCAGAAGATGGGCATTCAGATTGTGGTGTGCATTTTAATGATGTGTAGTATAAGCCCCTCTAGGGGCAAGGATGAACCACGCTTGAGTGACTTTCTTTCCATTGTGAGTGCTTCCCGAAAAGGCATAGTTTGTAAATTCTGTTAATGTGAAAAGGGAACATTCGGGCACCTTTTCTGTCCTGCTGATGTGTAGGGCTATTTTTGTTTTTTGTTCTTAGCTCTTTTTTCTGGGCTTGTGATTCTAAAGGTGCCAGACTGACTGCCCTCGAGCCCGTGTCCCCGATTTCTCCCAAGAATAGGAAAAATATGGGAGGCAGCAGAGCTGGTCATGTCTGGGTTCAGCGTATTAGCTTGACCCACTCTGGAAGAATATCCTCCAAAATACAAAGGAGAAGATTGTTCCTTATGAAGCCAGCCCATCTGCTTTCATAGCTGAGAAGACAAACCCTTGTTGTGCCAGCACCAAGCCACTGCAGACGTGTGGGATCCAGTCAAGTCCAGCCACTCATTCCCTTTGGAAATACTAAAATGTTTTTCTCTCTCCCCTCTCCACCTGTCACAGTTTCATCCTCGAGTTGGGCTCAAATGCATCTTTTCCCACAGAACCTTTCCTAAGTCCCCTATCACATATGATTTTCCTTCCACACCTCCACAGCACTTTCTCCTCTGGCACTTGGCACCTTTTTTTCATGTGATTGTAGAATGTACGTGGTCTTGTAATGCCTGTAAAAGGCACTGACCAAGTCTACTCCATTTCCGTTTATCACAGAAAAGCAGAATATGGTACTTTGCAAGAGTAGATACCTGAGGAATGTTTGTTGAACAGAATGAAAATTGCAAAGATTTTCTGTTCAGCCTGACGTTTAGGGGTCTGCCCTGATCTTTCTCTCTAATCGGTGATTGAGATTCTCTCCCAGAGCCTCGGGGATAGCTAGCAAACTCTCCATAAACTGTGTAGAGTGAGCTCTTGGGTTCCAGAGATTATGCTGTGGATCAGCTGTAGTTTAGATCACAATCGCTGTCTCCAGCTGCTTCATAGACCACCATGACATTTAGCCAGAATTCTTTTTGTTTCCCCAAGTGTGGTCCACACATCACTGTGTAGTCCCTGGTGGACTGTCAAGTAACCCAGTTTAAGGTCTAGGAAGGAAAAGAGTAATAAAAAATAATAATTCTGTTGACCTGAATTTAACAGATCTGAAATGTAAAATTACAGTTTTCACAGGTATCCAATCCACTGTTAATAATCATCACATTCTTAAAAGATTGCACATATATCACAAAACCTCTGTTGACTGGTGTTGTTTGACCAGTATTCACCAACAGTGCCATTCAGCTCAGAGTATTTTCATGTCATTAGTATGTTTTTTTTTTCCTGCTGATGCTAAACCTATATTTTTCATTATCACTATTGTATTGCATTGTTTCTTTAGTTCGCCAGAATACATCAGTGATTTCAATATGATTCAATGAAGGCAGGAAAAATAGTAATAACGATAATACCATAAATACCACTTCAGATTAATATTAAAAATGTAAATTTTTGTGAACAAGGATTCCAATATAAATATTGGAAGCGAATCTGTATGTTGCGAAACAGATATGATGGGTTTGCCCAAGCAGTTGAAAAAGAAAAGTTTGAATACTAAACTATGCTAATGACTCCTTAAACGTTAGACTTTATGAACTGATCCATTTGCCTATAATCCCAGTGTGTTTTCTGTAAAGAAATGTCAGATAGTGGCATGAAACTCTAATTTTAGCATCAAGTTGAGACGTAGCACAGTGAACTATTTAGTAAACCAATTAAGCCGGGTTTCTTTACTGAATAATCACAAAACAAGAGCCATATGCAATAACCTAATTTTGTTACTAAAGGCAATTAAGTTCCAAATTTTGAAGGCACTTTTCTAAGGTTATCTATCTCATAATAAAAACAAGTACAAGTTGACTCTTGGGCAGAAGTTTATAAAACAACCACAAGGTTTATTACAAGAGTTTTTATCCAATGTCAAGAATATGATATCAGGACTTTATGGTATCAGCTACCGTAGTGGCAGTCAGTTTCCAAGAGTTTAACTCTTTTTCCAGTACTTGATATTTCTTATCGCTCCAGGAGAAAATGGACTGTCGTTTGGGTTATATTTTAAAAATACATTGAAGTCCTGCAACAGGATGTATAGAAATATTTTCCAGTGCCAATGCAACCAGAGAGGATTAGAAATATATTTGGCTCTTTCCTCCCAAGTTGAAACATTTAGCCCTCCCGTTTTTAGGTGTGAAATGGTTGTCAATCCAGTGGATGGAGTGCTGAAAGCAGTCTTCATGAGAAATCTCTCCGTCATGTCAGCTCTGTGTTCAATCCCGATGCACACAACGAAACAGAGGCAGAACAGCATCGTGGTTAAAACCATGGATGCTGGAGCTAGACTCCTTGGATTCGAATTTCATTGACCGTCTTTGTGACTCAGTTTCCTCACCTGTACAATAGGGAGAGCAACAGACCTATGACATAGGTGGTTGTGACTATGAAATGAGCTTAACATGTATATAAAGCACCTTGAAAATGCCTGACACGTGGGAAACACTGGGTTTGCTTACAGCTTATGTGTCAAAGCCCGCAGCGCAGATTCTTGCTGACATTCCCAGCGACCTGTAATTATTTGTAAAGACTTTTTACTTATCGAAATAAAGACTAAGAAAGAAAACTGGATGTGGATCTGACCTCTGGCTCAAGATTCCCATGACGGAACCAGATAGAGATACAGATTGCAACCAGCACAGGGCTTCACGCTGACATAAATATTTGTCTTCTGTAATGTTTTATTGTTCCTATTTAAAACAATGATTTTTTTAAAACCGAAATCTGATGACCATATGTGGTCCACATGCCCCATAAATCAGTTTAAGAATGCTGAAAGTTTACAGAATGCTGGGCTGGACAGGGACAACCAGGGCCTTCGGGACTCAAACCCCGACAAGTATGTGGAATCTGTTACAGGTTTTAGGGACGTTCAAAGTATGATCACACTTGGAGGCAATACTAACTGGATTGTAATAACTTAAAGGGTGTCAAATGTAGTGGGAGACTTGCTTAATGAGGCCCTAGAAGACAGAACTGGGACTACCGGGTAGCAGTGAGCATGAGGAAGCAGTCTGGCTCAGTATGAGAAAGAACTTTCCAGCAGTCAGAGCTGTCGGGAAATAAAAGGGACTCCCTTTTGATCTGTCATTGAGGGCTGGATGCAGAGAGATTTTACATCCTGGGCTTTTGTGAAAGGAGGCGCAGTTTGAGTTTGGACCCAGTCCCCTCACAGTCTAACTGGACACGTAGACTCTCTAAGCAGGAAGACTTTCCTAGGCTGTGCCTTCCACTGCTGCTATGCTGAGTCATGTTCTTCCTAGACTTGTGTGTGAGACTGGAGGCACAGCCCTGGCCTCGACATTCGGAGACCTGAATTCTACTCTGTCACGTTTTGTAGGTCCTTGAGCTGTGTAAATGAGCTTTTCAAATTAATCTCCATCATGGCGGCCTCACAGAGGTGAGTCCTGGCTATATTGGTGATCTCGCACCTGGTGGTGGCGGTGGTGGGGGTGTCAGCCCTCTTGCTGCCACTGCCACTGTGAACCTGCTGTCTCCTCCATGTTGGCTTCTTCAGAAGGACTGAAGGTGTTCCTTGGTGTGCTCTTAGCAGTCAATCCCTTCTTTCTTTCAGGCCGCTGTGCTCGCTGTGGGGAAAATGTAGTTGGGGAAGGGACAGGATGCACCGCCATGGATCAGGTCTTCCACGTGGATTGTTTTACCTGCATCATCTGCAACAACAAGCTCCGAGGACAGCCCTTCTATGCCGTGGAGAAGAAAGCCTACTGTGAGCCCTGCTACATTGTAAGTTCAGACTCCCTCTGCCGCGCCTCCTGTGCTTTGCAAAGATGCCTTCTTTGGCAGAATGCCAGTCACTCCAGATAGAATGTAGTCATCAGATCTTTATTTCTCCACAGATTTCAAAGTGTGTGTGTGTGTGTGTGTGTGTGTGTGTGTGTGTGTGTGTGTAAATTGGCAGACCTTAACTTTTTCTAACTGTTCCCTGTTCGCATGAGGTCAGAAAGGCATGAGGAGGGTCCATCAGTGGTCTGCTGGATCATCACCTTGTGGCTTTCAAGCATGTATGTACAAGCTCTCACATCACCCCCTGAACATCAGAAGGTTTCCCATAGTCATACCTCTTCTTATTAGGTCTCACCTTGCATTTGAATTTGCCAGTATTGGTAAAGAAACAACGCAGGGCCTCTGGACTTGTCCGTGCTCTTTCAAACTCCTGGCCCCTTTGAATCACTTCTTACCCACTCAAACATTTTCTTACCACCATGCCCAGCAAGTTTTCAATGATGCAAAGAAATAAACCCTTCATTATAGAAGGAAATGAATTTCCCCTAAAGGAAAATGAATAGTAATACTGACTGAGGTAATAATTGGGTTTTTTTTTTTTTTTAAAGAACACAACAACTATACTTTAATTACATAAGTAGGTGGCTAAAAAGTACTCACACTCTTTTCAGTTTTTACCAGGCTACTTAAGAACACACATTAAGCTACATACACATCAGAAGATAGATCAATGTGATGAATGAACATACACTTTTTAAAAATATAAAATGCATTTCTTTGCTATCTATCTGCGTACTTTTAATCTGTTTAGCACTTGTTAGTGGGAAAAGTAGTGCATTTTTGCAAACCCACAAAAGAAGCATGGCTTCACCACAGTGTCGGGGCGTTTTTACGTAAAAGAACCTTGGGTGCAAGGTCCTAGGAGTTATACATAGCCTTGCAGATCCCCAAGGTTCAAGTTCATCGCAAAGTTCCTGGTCTCATTGGTATCTATCTTCCTGTGACCCGACGGCTCTAACTCATTGCAGCCCTCAAGTCTCTGTAGCACAGATCTGAAAGTTTGTTAAGACTAAGATCTAGAGGGATTCAGTATAGTTTGTGCATCTCTTAGGTTCAATTTTATTCCATTTTCCTCCCTAAAGGCAATTTAACTTAAACATAGATAGCCTCATAATAGTACTACACAATGCTGGAGCTGGGAAGAAAAAAAAAAAAAAAAAAAAGGTCATTTGTCTAACTCCTCATTTTAGAAGTGAGAATACAGAAACACAGAGAGGAGGAAAATGACTTCTTCTGTTCAATCCTTGGTGTCAGACCTGGGGCTATATTCAGTTTTTCACACCCCTGGTCCCATAGTCTTTGCTGACAGTACACATTTTTAGCTTGTTTGGAACATAAACACGAATACCATAGTGTCCTGTTGATCTCAGGGAGCAATTACATATGAGCTTAAAGCTCATCGAACCAAAGCTTACCTCCTTAAGAAATAAGAATATTCAGGGACGCCTGGGTGGCTCACTCGGTTAAACGTCCGGCTTCAGCTCAGGTCATGATCTCGCGGTCCGTGAGTTCGAGCCCCGCGTCGGGCTCTGTGCTGACAGCTCAGAGCCTGGAGCCTGCTTCAGATTCTGCATTTTCCCTTCTCTCTGTCTTTCTCATGCTCACCCTCTGTATCTCAATAATAAATAAATATTAAAAAATCTCAAAAGAAATGAGAATATTTCAAATATCAACCTTTGAAATCTTTACTGAAAAGAAAAAATTACAGAACTCCCTGTCTTTTGTAAGCAGACTGCATGGGCTGTCATTCACAATGACTTAGGACCACCACATGAAATTCTTCACTGCAGCGAGCTCTGTGATAATGATGCCAGCAGAGCTTCTGGAAGCACGTATGGCTTTGTCCTTATATGAAGTGACTGCTGTGTTTTTCTGTAGCTCTTGTCTCTATTTTCTGTCCTTTGTTCGGACTGCATGGTTGATTCTTGCTACCATTCACGGGGCTGCGGTGACAGCCTCCTTCATTTTTTCCTGTGTCTCTTAGAGCTAGGAACCCTGAGAAGTGTTGGGAAACAGGATAACAGGTATGAAGAACATGGCTTGAATCTGATGTCATCACTTCATGCTTAGTCTCCTCCAGAAAGTTACTGGATCTTTCTAAGCATCAGTTTCCTCCACAGTATAATAGGGATGATTGCAGGATTCTCCCAAAGGCCTGTGAGGATGAAATGGGGCAATCCTGTAAAGCACCCTGGGCCTGCCCAGGGAATGGTAATGGAATGAATGTTATTCTGAGATTAATTTTGGCAAGATTTCTGGCATATGTGGTTTTTCTGAATATAAGGACCTTCCAAGGGCTGTGAAATTCTTTGGGCTTTAGGAAATTGTTTTAACCCCTCAGGCACACCCCTGCCCCATTTTTAAATGCATTTCTTGCCCTCCTGGTAGAGTAATAAGACTAAAAAAGTGTAATCTGACTCAATTATGGGTTTGTACAGCCTGTGGGCTCAGGTTTCGATCTCTATGCCAGGCATAGGAGCTCAGTGATTCTTCAGGAGGGAGTTTCTTTCACTTTGGGTCCCTGTTACTAGACCGAGCTTATGACAAGGTAGAGTATCTGGGAGATATTTAATCACATCCTTGAAAAGTGGGGTGGACTCAAACAATGGAAATTCTTACCATCCCTTTTGACTTTCCCTCCCTCATAAGAAACGTTAATCAAGATTTTTCCTTATGAGACCTATCCATGGTGACTCCAAAATGCAACTTAATTCTTGTCAGAATTCAGTTAAGCTTTATTCAGAGGCCCTTGTTCCATATTGATTTCAGAGTTTAGCACTGACCCCAAGCTCTCGGATGGATGTTCTAGCATTGTAATTTCTTTGGAACTTTTCGTAAATCCAATAAGCTGCCATACCAGAAAAGTAAAGAGCTTTCTTTTGGGGGGGGGGGGGGCCCGGGGAAGCTCAGGGTATAAAATGAAACAAGTTGGTGTTGAAGACAGAGTGTGTAGTAAGGAGGATCCTAGGGATGTGTGTATGTCTCTTGGAACTAAAGCCCTGGGAACAGGGCCAACTGCAGTGGCATTCAGTCAAACTGCCTCTCGTTCCCTTGTGGAAACTGATGTCTGAGAGACATCCTGTAGAAGGAAAGTGCAGAGAACCCAGGCTCTGGGCCTCAGTCAGTGTGGTGGCATTATTCAAGATCTTGATGTAGTTCACTATTTCTGTGCAAAGACCACCCACGTTCAATGCTCTGAGTCCAAGAAGGAGACCCATCTAGTATAAATTTAATTTATTCTTGCCTAAATTGATTATTAGTAATCAACTTAGATCATATTTAAATTAACCAATTACATAATTTAGAGGGAAAATACACCAGTTAGGTCTTCTTCATCTTTCCTTCACTGATTATTCATATTTTCCTGTTGTCTCTGGAATCTTTAATCCTTGCACATATACACATGTAATTAAACCAGTTTGGTTCTGTAAGGTATTATAACTCTCGTTAATGATTTTTATACATGCTTTTGTGTTTTCTATTGATTGACTTAATTTAAATATGTATATGGCTTTCCATTGTTAATAATCTCTATTTTATAGCTTTTGTCTGTTTAATTTTACCTTATGTTTGCATACTACATTTTAAAGTTATTTGCCCCTAGAAAGGTATTGGGTATTCTCTGTTCTTTCAGTATTGTAAATAACATGCCTATAAAGAGCTGAGTTAAGGTTTTTCATTATTTTACTTTGAATTTTTTCCTTAGCATAAATTCTTTGATTTTTGTGACCACATTTACTTTACAACACTTTGGAGAACTTTTGCTTTCTTTAGAAACATTTCTAAACTTCTAAATTTCTTTAGAAACATTGTTCAAATTCACAGAACCATCAGCAATACGAAAGCATATGTTAAACTATAACCTATCCACGACTGAAGAGGTTTATTTATGTTTATTTTGAACCAATTAAATAAGTGCATTACGTAATTTAAGTTTGTATGTATTTGTATTTCCAAATCAATGAGATGCTTTTCTACTTTGGTGATCTCTTAACAGCTTAGTTTGGGGGCACCTGGGTGGTTCAGTTGGTTAAGTATCCAACTTTGGCTCAGGTGATGACCTCGCGGTTTGTGAGTTTGAGCCCTGCGTCGGGCTCTGTGCTAACAGCTCAGAGCCTGGAGCCTGCTTCAGATTTTGTGTCTCCCTCTCTCTCTGCCCCTTCCCTGCTCGTACTCTGTCTCTCTCTCAATAAATAATGTATACATATAAATATATGTATGTACATATACATACATATACATCTATTTTTAAAAAGCTTACTTTTGATTATTCTTATGGATTTGTATAAAGGAACAGATTAAAATTGAGAGCACTAAACTTCCTTAGAAGTAAAGTCATATAACTAGAATATATTGCTTCTAGTTCTTGCTCTCTAGGTGAGACCTTGGGTAAGTCATTTAGTGTCTGAGTACTGGTATCATCATTTATGAAAGACAGATATTAACTTCTTCCCTATCTCCAAAGAGAAGGAATGAACACTTGTGATATTTTATACATTATGAAATTTTATACAGATATAAGGGTTTAATCCATTAATAACATTATTATCATCGCTTTTCCCCTTAGCATAATCTGATACAATTTAGAAATCCTCTATGTTGGGGGTAATTTCATAGCTGCAGTTGCTATGGAAATACTGAAATAAATAAATGTCATAGAAAGAATGTGAGGACATATATGAGAAGAAGAGGTTCATGCTTTGCTTAAGATTTTTATGTTGGTATGAGTATGAGGGACAGCAACCGTGCCTTCCACTTAAGTGTTCTTCTGTCCTGAATGAGACAGGTTTACCCACAAATATAGATTAACAAAAGAACTGCTGTGTTTTTAGCATGACCAAGGAGTCTGGGCTGGAGACACAGCACATCTGTGATTCTCAGATACTCAGCCTGTTTATGAAATGGCAGCCAAGGATCTTCTCCTAAACCAGGGCTCTTAC